TTTTAAACACCTCCAGGGATGGTGACTCAACCACCTCCCTGGGCAGCCTGTTCCAATGTCTGATCACTCTCCCAGTGAAGAACTTTTCCCTAATGTCCAATCTAACCCTCCCCTAATGCAACTTGAAGCCATTGCCTCTTCTCCTATCACTTGCTGCCTGGGAGAAGAGACCAACACCTGCCTCATTACAACCTCCTTTCAGGTAGTTGTAGAGAGCAATAAGGTCACCCCTGAGCCTCCTCTTCTCCAGAGTAAACAGACCCAGATCCCTCAGCTGCTCCTCAGAAGACTTGTTCTCTAGACCCCTCACCAGCCTCGTTGCCCTTGTTTGGACACGCTCCAGCATCTCATTGTCCTTCCTGTAGTGAGGGGCCCAAAACCAAACACAGTACTTGAAGTGCAGCCTCACCAGTGCTGAGTACAGGGGCACGATCACCTCCCTACTCCTGCTGGCCTCACTATTCCTGATACAAGTCAGGATGCTGTTGGCCTTCTTGGCCACCTGGGCACACTGCTGGCTCACGTTCAGCCAGCTGACAACCAACAAATCCTTGTCTGCCTACGTTTGTGCAAGCAGATGTTAAGTCCTTCCAGAACCCCGAACAGAACTGGTACTCACAGTTGTGGTATCCTGCTCCCTGGGATAATGAAGGACTGCACTTCAGTCTTCCCTTATCTGAGAATGAAGAGATACAATGCTGCTGCATGGTGTTGGTCAGGCTTGTTACTTTTGTAATGAAATCTGAGCAATCTTGTTCCTTCCATTTTTTATCATGTGCTGCTTAGGTTGTCTCTCCTAATTGCGGTTTGTTGCTTGAAGGGGGATGGCAGCTTCCCTTTTTTCCTGTAGTGACTTTCTTGTGAGATTGCAGATCAGCATGACTCCTTTTCCTGGGAAAGAAAGAGGAGGGAAGCAGCAATTTCTGCTTCTCCTGGTAGCTGATGTTCTTACCTTGCTGTTGATAGCTCTGCCACACAACTGGCAGGCATTTGCCAGGTTATGTAGCTCAAATACATTTTAATAGACATGTGAAGGAGGCCAGGACAGTGATTTATGTTGTGTGGAGGGATATACTAATACAATTACAACATAGGAGGAAACATAGAAGTGCTTGAAACACAGCTTGGTTTGACAGTGGTGCAGGTATCACTGGGAGAAGAAAAGGGGTGGAGATGAGTTTCTCATTGGAGGACATTGAGGTATGACTATAGCAGGAGTAGGAGTGACAACCCAGAGGTAGACGGCCCAGACAACACAGATGCACAGTCATTAGAAAACAAATCCAGTATCCCTAATAAGCCTGTACTCCAGCCCATCCCAGTACATCTTCATAGCTTTTGCTGTGTTGTATAAATTGAAGGTAATTAAGATATGCTGCAATCACTTGTTTTCATTTTGCTGTTTATATGCAAAGTAAGGTTAAGACGGCTGTGAAGTTCTAGATGGAAAAGAGCCAGGTGGATGCAAGGGTAACACAAGGTCAGTGAGCTGATATGATTTTGTCAGTTTCAATGAATTAGAAGGAGAGAAGGGAACAGAGCTAAACCCACTGTGCATAGAAGTGAAAGGCAGCAGTGATAAAGATGTAAAATTATCATCAAAGAGTAAAGAGAGATGATGCTAAGGTAATGATAAGGACGAGTGGTGGAGCCATGAGTATAGGACTTCACATGAAATAGAGTCAGGAGGTAAGAGAAATCCGGATCAGACACAGAATTCTATGTTAAAAAGAGTTTTGAATGGTGCAGTTTTCATCCTTTGTATCACTTAGCTCTTCAGCTGTGGTCCCTTAGCTGCAGTATCTTTGTGGTAGCACACAAAGTAGAAGATGAGAAAACACAAAAGGCCAACTTCTTGTCTGCAGGACAGTGTTCTATAAAGCACAGGTATTCCAGCTATCTTTTGGAGTTGGACAGGGACAGTACATTTTTATTTGGTGGCTAAGGAATTTATCTGTCCTAAAACTGTCTGTAAATTTGTGAATGGGTATGGACGACAATCCTTCATATTCTTCTAATTAGCACACCTTTCTCTGTTTCTTTTCTTTGTCTGCGTTTTTTTTTTGGTGCTAACAATTTCTTTTGACCAGGCAAACTACTTTCTCTTATTCCCTCCTATTGGTTACATCATTGCTAGGTTCAAGAGAATATCTCCAGCATAAAAACGGAGAAAAACAGAAGGATAAGGTACTAACAGTTCTGAGAGCCTTTTTTTTTTTTTCTTCAAGCTTTTTTTAGAATTGGGAAGATATAGAAAGTTTACACAAGGATGGTTTACAAAATGGACTTCCTGAGATTTTTAAATGACGCTGCAGAGAAGACTTCAAAACCTGAGAAGGCCATACTTCCTGGAGCAGAAAAAAATGGTTGGGAGTGTTGTTCATGCTATCATCTAGAAAGATAAGTATATACCTAACACTACACCCATGGGGGAAAGAAAAAAAATGCAAAACTACGAACAATATGGAAATGCACTGTGATAACAAAAACTCATCACTGAAAAATATTTAAGAAATAAATGTACTGTCATCGTGACTGTATATCACACACATTGCACCAATCAAACCAAAGTGGTCTTGTAACTACCATTCTTAGTTTTAGCTTAAGGCAAACATGAGGTAAAATGCATGAAGCTAACACTACTAGCTCAGCTAACACACAGTAATTTATTAAGCTGTCATACAGAATACATGTACCTGTGTTAATTTAACAAGACAAACCTTCTTTCCATGAAAAGGAAAAGGTGTAATAGAATAGGTTAAACTTCATTTATATATGTGGTCAAATACCAGCTTTGAGTATTCTCTTTAGAGCTAATTGGACTTGCCTGACCTTGAAGTTGCATGAACCAGCTTGTCTGTTTGAACTAACTTGCTTGGACTGTTTTCTGTTTTTTAAAAAAAAGTCTTAATAATAAGAAAGAATATTCATAGGAAAGGCAAACTGTTTATTTTCAACAACAATCCCTTTTATTTTAATGTTTTTATTTTTATAGATCACATTAAGATATCCTGCTATTGTGTGATACCAAACAGAACTTTACTGCTCGCAGTATAGTGGACTAGGCTATTATTTATACTAACTATATACAGAATATAATTGCTTAAAATTAAATATTTAAATTATAATATTTTAATTTGTTTTCAATTTAATGGTGTTTATTTTAAAAATAAATTTATAATTTTACTCAGTTCCTTCTGTGTACACATATTTTGTCACTTATAATGGTGAAATTTTTTAAGGGCATACCTAGTTATTAGAAAACATGTTTCTAAAAGAGTTTCCAAGGTTGAGTAAGCATTACCATTCTCGCTTTGCTTGATCTGCTCTGTTCACACAGGTTTTTATGTTTCTCACTCATCTCCCTGATGCAACTAGGTTTTTTAAGAAAGCAAGGATGTGAATGCAACATAATTATTAATACCCATGTTTTCTCCAGTTAAGTTATCTCAGCCAGCACTTCACTGTAAAAATCATAAAATGGATTTCATTGTGTGCTTGTCTAGGAGGGACTAGACCATCTCTATGTTTCAGTGGGATTTAGGCACTTAAGTATATAGCAACTTTGATATCCAAGGCTTCAGCATTTTTATAGCTGACCAGAATAATTCATTCAAAGCTAAATTCACATATTTAGATTTGTCTTTTTATATTTATTTATACACTGTCTCCATTAGCAAATATTTATAAATACACATAAATGTGTGGGCATGTATATGCATTTCTTTCAGCAAGTCTGTCATTCTTCCTTGATTTTATAATGGAAGCATGGCTGCATCCTTTTTAAGTGTGGATATGGCAAATACCTAAACATGGTATACTTTAGAGAGGATCATGAGATAGGACTTGGAAAGATTAAGGAAAAAAACAATGATGAAGTATATGACTTTGGAAAGAGATACTGATCTGGAAATGAACTATTAGTGCATGCTAAAAATCCGTGTGACTGAGAGATGACTCAATGACTCTCAATGACTGCAGAGGACAGAGGACTGTTTTTTTGGCTAATATGTGATAACAAACAAATTAAGCTACAATCAAATAATGTAAAATACATTGCAAATAGAGTGTACAAAAAAAGAGGCAAAATACCTGAAACCCTTCTTCTTCTCATGTCATTCCTAAATGACATTTATGGAAATTGGTTTGCAGAAATCAGATTTCTTGTACTTTTAATTATGTAAATTATGTACTATATACTTAAATAGCTGGTACAAATCACTTTGTTTTCTATGTCTTTCGTTCAAGTTTTCTCTTTTCCCATCTGTCTATACTTTGAGAAGATCCATGGAATACTTCCCACTTTTTCAATAAATCTAACAAAATTTTTATACAGAAAAACATAACAACTATGAATGACACAATATGTTTAAGAAGGAACTGTAATTTGCTTTGAAACTGGATTTGGAAGATAACATTTAAGTAGATAATCAATCTATGATTTTATGCATGGTTAATGAGTTCTTAAATGAGGGGATTTTCTACTTTATGTAATTGTGGCTTTTCAGCTTACAATAATTCCTTAATAACTTCACCTTTCAGGTTTGATTTTGATGTTGGTTACTAACGTTTAGATCTTGAAGTATGAATATAATTTTATCTTGCATAAGGAAGTGGTTTATATCTGTATCTCTAAGATTGGAGCCCAGCCGTAGTATTTGTATAACTGATAAAAATCTGGTACTCTGCTACACTCAAGCAAACTTCCTAATAGTTGCCATGGAAATAAATTAGTTAAGAGTACACAATTGAACACAAAGTTTATCCCAGACCTTTTATCTGACATTATATGATAAAGTTTATGTATTATTAATTAATTTAAATTTTAAGAAATTAATATATACTGCTTTTCAATAAGTGAAAGATGAGAGACAGCTGATTCTCAGATATATCTGGGTTTCAGGTTCCTAGAAGCTACATTTTGATCTTAATCTCTCGAATTACACATGATTTGTAATTTTGGTAAAAGAAAACAGTGCCATTAAAGTCAAGGTAAGAAATTATTATACATTGTTTTATGTATCTTTATATAAAAAGTTACAAGCAGCAAGCATATGACACAGAAATGGAACAGTAACAGCAATAATCATGAATGCATGCTTTTTACAATGTATCTAGTAAAGGGATATTTGCCAACTCAAATATTCAGTAACATACATGCAGATTATTTTCTCAATGCCAAATTCAGTCGTATTGCTAGATGCTTATCCAACAAACATTTCTATTGATGTGATTCTGAATGGCTAAATACCTGATTTCAATAAATTGTTCCTGAAACTGGTACTTGAACTTGCAAAGAAAAGAAAAGAGAAAAAGAAAGAAAGAAATGACTGATAAACATAATAACCAAAGTCTTATTGCCTTCTAGTAATTTTACTCAATACTGTTTGCTGAATTTTGTCATGATATGAGAATAGCTGGTCAGAGGGTCCATAAAACCTCTAGCTGCTGTTTCCAAGGTCGATAGTTTCACATTTCGTTGTAGCATGTTCAAAATCACCCAGGAGCGCACTATTCTCAAGCAGTCTATATAATGAAAACAATGTACATATAACAAAAGTTCATTGTAAATCTTCTTCCACATAGCACACAAGTAATAACAGACATAAAACATATCAACTGAAATAAAACTAAGATTTTTTTAAAAATATGACAGTCTCAGTCAGAAACTAATTTTTTCTTCATGTTTGCAACAAATCTCCAAATGTGTTTAAAAACTAAGGAGCACTTGGTGGCCAGCAACTAAATTACAAAAGCAGCATGTTATTGTGCAATGGAAATATCTTGCTAAGGAAGTAATATATGCCTGTACTTCTTAGGTTTGGATAAAGACAATGAAATGAAATTAGAAACATATCCACTGTCTCTTTCAGGCAACTGAAATAATTCACTATAGATTTTTCCATTCAGAGTTTGCATGACTGCGTGAATAGTTGTCTGAAAATGAAACAAAGTTTAAATATGTTTTCTCTATGAGGAAACATACAGACAAATATTTACCTACACTGTCTAGAAGCAATAAAAGCATTAATGGATTCTTTCCCAGTAAAATTGCTGTATACATATATACACATATAAACATGCATATACACATATCTATGTTTATATATATATACACACATATACATATATAAATTGACAGACTAGAAGCTATCTATAACTTCATTATAAACATCTGAGACTATATTTATTGAGATCAAGTGTTGATAACAAATTATACAAAATGAAAAGCCTAGGAAAAGTTTAAAAAATGAAGTTTAATTTTCAAACATGAACACATGTGCTACAGAATCTCTAAATTTGTTGGTACTACCACGTACTCTTCCCCTGACACTTCATAAGGTTGAAAGAATAAAATTAACTGAAAACAGATAGTTCCACACCTTCCTGTCTTCAGTTAGATTGCCAAGTTTTACGTACTATTTCCCATGCTGGGACTCTAGATTTTATTTTCATAAATAAAAATTTAAAAAAAAGAAACACCAGAGCTATGCAAAACATCTGTCTTAAAAATGTGTTTTGAATTAAGATTATATTTAGCTAGAGGATGATTATAGTGATGTCAAGAACAAGGAGTTAACAGATTTTGCTTAGTTTACAATGCTGAAGTGGTCATCTGTCTTTCAGTTTTCTCAGCATTCAAACCTGGCTCTCTCCATACAAGGTGACATATCTTGAGAACTAACATGCATTTGAGCAACGTAACAAATAAAATGGAAAGCAACAGATTGTTCAATTGTATAGTTAGGTTTACTTACCTCAAGTTTGTCTCTTAGACCCTAGTTGTGTTGTACTCAGATTCATGTTTGCTTAGAGACCCAATGAGGCAGAACCTGGAATGTTATGGCTATTTCATTCAAAATAATAATGTTTGCATAGAAAAAAAAATATATGCATATAGATACTTAATAAACAGTTCATCTTGATAATCTGATCAATATTCATGAAGATATTTACATTAGCATGCAATTAGATTAAAATAATCAAATAAATTCTTTTTTTAAGAGACAGAAATGCCTTAATGTATAAAGAAAATATGGAGGGCATGTGAACAGTCACAAGAAGTGCATAAATAATGCGTGCAAGAAAAAACAGAAATGCATATAAAAAGTTTGTGTTCTTTTTCAAATAAATGGTTCATAAATGTTCATGCTTTTCTTTTACTTATAAACTTTTAATCGTCCATTTTTAGTCATTCGAAGTGCAATACACATAGCTCTTTTATAAAAATATCATGCTTGACTTTACTTTTTTATTGATTAGAAAGATTTCTTTTAACTACACTCTTAAATGTAAATATGTGAGTATTCTCTATTCACTATGCTGTCTCATGTGCTAATTGATATATATATATGTGTTAATATAACAAGCCAAGGTACTGTGATTAATAATAGATACAGTAAAGCTTTGCAAATATTGTCATTCTTTATGTAAAAGATTTTTTTTCAGTGGAAAAGGGATTTCTTTACCCCAGTATTGTGTTTCTCATTATTGTGCCATGCATCAAAATGGATACCTGTATTCTTTATTTATTGATGATTTATTGATCTAGAGATTTTAGATCAACAGTGGATGATAGTCAAAGCCACCTCAGTTACAAGGAAACCACATGTATGTGGCTCTTTTAAAAACTAGATTCACACAAATTCTTTTTTGTTTTTTAAAAATTGTACCTGATCTCTGTTGACCTGTGTGTGTATGCATGTGCATATGTGTAAAATAGTAAAATAAAAAGAAAGATACAAAGCAGAAAGGTAAAACTGAGATACAGGATCCTTCAGGAAAGAGGAGCAGAGATGAAAGCAAGCTAGATAGGAAGAGAGAGATAATATAATGGTATGTGCTATCAGGAAATAGAAATTTAAACAATAAATAAAGAAGAAAGAAAATACGTCTTTACTGAAGGAGTGAATATGTTTGGGCAATCAAGTCCTTACACAATAGTCTTCATCAAAAATCTATTGATACTGACCGCTGAACAGCTTTATCATGTCTGGACAGCCTGTGACTTGTGGTTGGTACCTCTTCAATTTCGTCTATCTCACACGCATCTGCAGCATCTTGTGAGTAGCTATGCTTCATGACAAGAATATTTCTCCTGTTCATAGGCTGAATGAGTGGTTTTACAGGCTGGGGTTGTATTTCTGTCAAGACAGAAGCATCTCTTGTGCTGAGGTTACTACGGCTGCCCTTAATGCTAGACACTTGTGATCCACAGTGATGGTCATGAATACATTTTGAAGATGATCTCCGCAGTTTATGATAATTTTCAAAGTCATCTGCAACGTCAGCAAGGTCAGCTGTAGGCCCTGTCCCTCTGAGGGTGCATAACTCATAATGAGGAGGCTCAAACACCTCCTGGAACACTGTTTGATCAAAGTCTGTTTTCCTTTGGACAAATTTTTTACGAGGCTGCTTGATCTGTACTATAACAGAGATAACAATGAGGATGATCACAATGCAAGAAGTCACCCCAATTATAGTCCCACTGGTATTGGTAAGTTGGTCCAATAGGTTAGCTTTTCTTTTTTCTGTGGGTAGGAGAAGAAAAAAAGCACAGTGTTAAATGCAGTTCAAGAATAAAAACAAGCAAGAAGGGTTCACATGTTACTGCAAAGCCAAGCCTAGCCTATGTCTGAGTTCCCTTAATCAATCTCACTGACAAAAAGAAAAAAGGATTCTGGTATTCGTGAAGCCAAATAAACAACACACAGGTCCTCTGTGTGCCTGTTCACCTGAAAAGTGATTTGTTCAGGGTATGTTACAAGCTTACTTAGAAGAAAGAGTCATTTACATTTTTCACAAAAAGCAACCGCCATGACAAGCTGATGGCTTTAGTGTCACCTCTGAGCTCCATTTGCCTGCTAAAGCCCCCAAGACTGTTACAGATATTCACTTCATGATTTTCTGTCTCTTCCAGTACATATATGCAACTAGCACACTAGGAACAAGGAAAGACCAAGACTTTACAGGATTAAAAACGAATTTCTTCTTTGTATTAGAACTTTGGTGAAGTCCTAATACTTATGAGCTGACTGAGACTGTTGACAGTATTCAATAAAAAACTAAATCAGGAGAAAATAGAAAAGATATTCAAACTGAGGTTTCAGAAAGGAAAAAAAAAGAATGTGGGCAAGTTATCTCTTTCATTCCTGACCTGTTAATTACCACAACTTCTCTAAACACCCATAAAAATCCAAAAGCTGATCCTACCTACTATCCTTTATCGAGGGGCCTCTAGGAAGTTGCCTAGTAAATTCAGTGTTGTGAATGAAGAAAAACAGAAAATATGCAGTAAAATAATAAAAAGAAATAGAGTTACACCCTACTGTATATTTGTCTGTGATTTGCTTTCAGATGGCGGCAGATAGGTGAGAGTGAGCCTTGTAGAAATCCAAGCTGAAAGCATTCGCATCAGTCTCCCACAGGCATAGCAAGACTTGACAACTGTGATTAAGTTTCAGTCCCCAGTTTACTGTAATTTTTCCTGGCAACCTCAGACATATCAAAGGACTTCATGAAAAGCCTTTGAAATGAAAGTTATTGGCACCAAAACAGTAACATCCATCTCGTCATAATCTCCTAGATACCAAAAACGAGGTTTTCGGTACTCCCTGTTGCCTACTCTGATAGATTCACCTGGGGTTTCTCTAACTGACTGACACAGACTCTGGGGAAGCAGCAGAGTTAGAAAAAGAAACACTGCAGCAAACAACGTTTTTGCTGGAATCAGCAAACCTCCTTTTTTTAGTCAGGAAAACAAGAGAGGATAAATGAATGAGACACAAGAAAAAGATACTTGGCAAATGCAAGATGAAAATCACTCTGGAAATTAAAGAGTGGGGAAGGTTTTCTGTTTTCCTCAGTGCTGAAGAAGTAAACAGATAATTATTTCCCAATTGTACATTTGGTTTCTTTGAAGAATATTATTGCATGTCACAGTTTTGCTGTGTTCTTTTGAAGTATGTTTTCATTTGTGTTTTACCCTGCTGCACTGCTTGTCAGGATTTTACAGGCTTCAGCAGACTTATGGGCTGACTGCTAATCCACCTCATTCTGATTTTTTTCTTGATTGATTCCTAAATATGGCATATCCCACGTTTTCAGGAACAAATCTGCAGTAGCGAGGGGGGGGGCAGGAGGGAAGCGAATTGTCTCACTAGCCTGCAACGTGAGTTAGTTAAGCTCTTTTCCCTGAAGACAACACAGCTGCTGATTTTTTTTTTTCCAGAAACACAGAGCAATATTTAGAAACCATTGTCAGCACCTAGTTAGGAACATCAGTCCCTAGGTATGAAATAGACATTATGCCTGATTTCCTTGCTTTTCAATTTCACTTGCTTATAGGTGGATTTGGTTGCTTTCTTATAGTGCTAATTCCACTTCACCATGGATTTTTAGCTCACCTGGGTTATTCTGGGCACTGCATGCAGCTAAAAGACACCTGCTACCTGTATGTTACTCCACTACAAAATGATTATGACAAAGGAACCAAAATATTACTTTTAATTTCGTTTTAAATTGTAAGGGAAACAGAGACCAAGTCATCAGAAAGCCTGCCAGAAGGACACAAGAAACACAAATCAAGACCAGGTAAAACAAATGCAAACCCTGAAAGTAATATCCATCAGTATTTTTACCTCTCTTCATTTTCTCTGTTGCTTGATGTATACTCTCCCTGAGCTACTCTTCCTGAGCTTTGACCCAACTGGCACATACTTCACTAAAAACTAAGGATAATATGCTGTATCCCACGCAGTCTAAATGTCTTGACATTTTGCATTCTACACATTACCTTTGCAGTGATTTTCATCCCAAGGATACACACAATTCTGGAGTCCATTGCAGACCAATGTATTATTAATACACATATTACTGTGGCAAAAGAATGTGTTGGCTTCACAAGGGGCTAAAAACAAGAGAGAAAAAGCTGACATTAAGTAGTAAATCATTCAGCTGTCTGCAACAAACACATCTAGGAGTGAGCATATAATCTGTAATAGGAGAAAGCTATACAACACAGGTTCCTTCAACGTATTAAATGTTCAACATACAGCATTGAGAGCACTCAAGTCACACACTCTTTATTATTCTGTGGCAAGAGATTTTCAGTTCTAAGACAGACAGACTTTCCCATAGTCTGACTGTCATGGCTGTGATGGGTTGGCCCTCCATATATTGGTGGGGAGTCATTGATGTGTTATCAAAAATTTTATCCATAGATCCAAAACACAGCACCCTATGGGCTGCTATGAAAAGAAGTTAACTGTATCCCAGCCAGATCCGATGTATGGGAAATAATTTGGTTTAAAGTTTGTTGCTGAAACTCCAGTTTTATAAGAAAACTTGTGTGACTCAAAGAAAGTATGTACTTTAATGCCCAGCTCAATGGTGCCTGAATATTTATCCACAGAGAAAATAAAAATATTTTTTAAAACTTTTCATCATATAAAAATCTACAATAAAAAAGCACCCCTTTTATCACAAAAAAAGCAATAGTCTTCAGCATCCCTGAAGCCCACAGTCTAGGAAGACCATGTGAACTAAAGCTGCAGGATGAAGGCTTTACTGAAGGCCATGTACTATTACTGTGAAGCAGCAGCTTGGAGGCCATCAGAAGGAATTTTACATTCTGCTAAGCTGTGCTACTTACTCAAGTGTTGGGATACTCTTTGGTGTTGGGGCTGTAAAGATACTAGTCCAAAATTATAAAACATAGTAAAGGCAAATTACCCCTCGTATATCTTTTGTTAAAACCAAACCAGAATATCTTCCTCCATTTAGAAAGAAAGCTACAAGCTTTATCGGTATTATATCAGTAAAAATGAACTGTTTATGTATTATTTTTAGCTCAAACAACCCAAAAGCATTATTATAATTATTTTTAAGGGAAATTAAAAAAATAACCTAAGACCCTTCACTAATCAGAATGGAGTTATGATGCTCATATTACTGATACTTAGAAATTGATGTTTCATGGCAACTTTTCTCCTCTGCAACTTTAAGAGCAGTTCCTATGACAACATATATGTATAGCACAAACACTGGCTCACAGCAGACAACTGCTTCAGTGGTTTGCTAACTAAGGACAATACAAAGGATTTATATTGTAGACCTTCATGACTCCATACATCGTCGTATAAAGAAATCCACTTTTCAATAAGTGCTTAAGTTCAGATATCCATAAATGACTATAACAGCTTCTTCAGAGCAGTTATGGTCTGTTAAACAAATAGTAAATGCCATCAAAACTTGCACAAACTCCCAAATATGCAACCATCCAATTAGATATAACAGTATATGTATGCTATATCTCTTAACCAATGCATAAGATGGATCAGCCAAATTTGTTCTGCCCACTGATGAATTTTTGGAAGAATCTGCTACATCATCTCATAAGCTGCAGTGACCATGGTCAGGTGCCAAGTTTGGTACAGGAAGGAGTTTTCCTTTAAACTGAGCAGAAAGAGCAGAACAGCGCACATGCACATTAGCAAGGGAGGGTGCTTTGGGACAGTCCTTTTCTATCTGTTGCTGCAATTTGGGGACAGTGAGGGCTGAACCTGCAGGATACTGTGTCACCTCAGAATGTGACAAACCATATAGGAGACCCACCAGAGGCATTATCATCCTTTCACACTCTACCTAATGTCCCTGTTTATGGGCAAGGCGGGATATTTTGGGACCAGTTCTTTCCAACACAGAGAATGAGTCTCCCTGCCTGCTCTAAATAAAAAGGTGAAACAGAGAGAAAAAGAATATATGAAAGGGAAACCTAAGAAGACCTAAGTAGCCACCCATTCAAAATACATGGTAAGAAATATGAAGTGTGCAAGAAAAGAAAACCAAAATGGCAAATGCAGAAGGCACAAAGAGTGACAAGGGAATGAGGAAAAAACCAGAAGTGGAGGATTAAGAAAGTTTATGCCAATAAAGCCGTAAAGGAGAAAGAAAGCCCACCAAAACATCAAAAAATCATGCAGAGTGGTGAGAAAGGCCTTAGAAGTGAAGTGGTAAGGACAGAGTGCTGTATCTGATCAGCAGATCCTCTTAGATGTCTGTGATTTGCTCTTGCCACTTCAAAGTCAGTCTGATTTAATCCTGAATGCAACAGCAAAGAAAGGAGTAGTAGTGGAAAAACAACCCCAAAGAGAATAAAGAGCAATTTAAGGGAAGGAAAGACAGTTGTGTGAGCCAGAAATAAAGGAATTTAGAAGTATAGTGCTGTAAGTACAAAAGGAGGAACTAGAGAAAGGTAGTAAAGGAAGTGAAAGGAAGAGGAAGAGAGAACTGCCTGCACAGGATCTTGTCCAGGCGGGTCTTGAATATCTCCAGAGAAGGAGATTCCACAACCTCCCTGGGCAGCCTGTTCCAGTGCTCCGTCACCCTCAGAGGGAAGAAGTTCTTCCTCATGTTCGGACGGAACTTCCTGTGTTTCAGTTTGTGCCCATTGCCCCTTGTCCTGTCACTGGGCACCACTGAAAAGAGCTTGGCCCCATCCTCCTGACACCCACCCTTCAGATATTTGTAGGCATTTATAAGGTCCCCTCGCAGCCTTCTCTTCTTCAGGCTGAACAAGCCCAGTTCCCTCAACCTCTCCTCGTAGTGGAGATGTTTCAGTCCCCTCACCATCCTTGTAGCCCTAATAGATGACATCTAAGGCATTCTGCAGTAAAAGGAATGAAAAGAGATTTTATTTCAAAAGAAAAATATTAGGAAATGTTTCAGAAATAAGAGAGAAAAAATAAGAGCAGTACAAAAGACAGTTTTTGCAGATTTAAGAAGGAGGGACAAATATGCAAAGTGATGGTGGCTGCATCTGGAAATGAAAAGCAAGAGAAAGGAATAAACAAGAAAGAAAATTTCAGTTTCTCTGAATTGTGCTGTTGAACTATGGAGGGAAGAGAAGGTACGTGAATAAATGTCAAAACTAGATGAATAGTGAGGCAGAGAAATTTCAGAGTAAGTACAGCAAACTTAGCATGAGAAAAACCCAAATGTAAGACTCCTAAACCTAATGACAGTCATGTTCATATTTATAAAATTAATATAGTCAAGTCCTCTCTGTGGTCCCTTGAACTTGGACCGATTAAGCTGGACAAGAAATCAATATATTATTCCCACTCTAATGAAGACTTTCGTTGGAATGAATGAAAGCATCAAGGGAAGCTGAAAACTTGTCAGTCCCATTGTTCATTCACAGATCCTGGTCCTTACGGGGCATTTTAACCACTTGATATCTGTAGAGGGCAACACATCAGGGCACAAGCAATCCAGGAGGTTTCCAGAGTGCATTGATGGTAACTTCCTGATACAAGTAATCAAGCAGCTGGTGAGACGAGCTCTGCTGGGACCAGACCATGCACCAGTACATGATGGGGTACATGATGGGGACTGACTGACTGAAAAGCAAGTTTGCGGAACAGGTGCTGATGTGCAGTAAGCTGACCATGAGCCAGCAATGTGACATTTTGTCAAAGAAGGCCACCAGTATCCTGGGCTGCATTAGAAAAAGCATGGTCAGCAGGTTGAGAGACATGATCCTTCCCCTCTATTCAACACTGGTGAGGCCACATCTACAGTGCTGTGTTCATTTCCGGGCTCCGCAGCACAAGAGACATGGACATATGGGAATGAGTCCAGCAAAGAGCCACAAAAGCCCTTAAAGTCTTGGGTCATCTAACATATGAGGAGAGGTTGAGAGCTGTGACCGTTCAGCCCGGAGAAGAGAATGCTCGGGGAGGATCTCATCGATGTCTGCCTGATGGGAGGGAGTAAAGAAGGCAGAGCCAGGCTCTCCTCAGCAGTGCTCAGTGGCAGGACAAGAAGTAATGAACACTAAATGAAATACAGAAAATTCCCCTCAAATGCAAGAACAAACTTCTACTGTGAGGCTGGCCAAACACTATGCAGGAACTGGACTCCCAGAGAGGTTGTGGAGTATCCATCATTGAAGATGTTCAAAACCCAACCACACATAGCCCTGAGTAACCTGATGTAGCTGACTCTGCTTTGAGCAGGAGGACTGGACTAGACCATATCCTGGAGTTCCTTCCAACCGCAACCCTTCTATGACTCTCTGAAAAGATGGTTTCATAATTAGATTAAAAGCAACAGCTAGGAACACACAGTTACGTTATTTCTCCTGTGTCCCAAAGATGCCTGGAGTCAAGCTCTGCCAAGGTAGTGGCCTAGAAATAAGTGAGATGATAGTGCATTCAGCACATTGAATGATTATACTGATTATAACAAAAATAAGTAAATCAGAATTATACATATAACTCAACCTGATGTATTTTATTTACTTCAAATCTTTGATAAATTATTGGATTTTTACATCATGAAAACTTTATAAACTAAATTAAATAACTACTTAAAGAAAAAAAGTATTGAAGGTTCTTTTTCAGATTGAATTTTAACTGGTAATTATTTTTATATAAAGCTAGAATTTATATAAAATAATGTATACAGACTAAAAATTTCAAACACTTTCATTCTACATTGTTTTTAATGATAGTATTTTCTTTTTAAAAATTTGTGTGGTGTGTGTAGGGATACCTTGTATCTTAAGACACAAACAGATTTGATAGTTATTAAGTTAATTATAACGCAATATCTTCTGTTTTTCAACAAGTATTTGTACTGAACACAAGATGGTGCACTTATACTAGAAGATATACAAGCAAGGGCATTTACAGGAATACAAATGATCTCTTTTTCAGGTTTAGGAAACCTATACTTTAAAAAATCCTATAACAATAACCCTTTTTCTGTTATCTGACATGTAAACATATTTTGTTTCTAGTACATGTTAGGAGACTGTTATAGTAATCATATTTCCAGAAGGCTACCATCACTGTATTCAAAAAAGTCTGAGTTGAGTATTTAAATTTTAATGCTTTCAAAATT